CCTTACCCAAGGAATTGGGTTTCGCTTCTCAAGCGTGCCAGTTTATAGGCAATACTGTACTTTAATGTCTTGCAATTCCCTCCCTGATATCAAAGAAAAAGACATGTATCCGTACGGAGTAGGTTGTTTGGCTTCACCGTCTTGTCCTATTTCCGTTGGTCGCCTCATTATCACCTTTCGCATGCCATGCCACTCCAGCCGGGGGTTGTGGCTACGTATCCGTTGTAGCGAGTCGTCGCAGCAGAGAATTAACCCCTGTCTATCAGTTGGTCGAAATCTCGGCAACCTCAAAACGTTGACTTGATCTTCAAATCATGTCAGCCTCGCAGGAATGAAGATATCCAGTACCAGAGGACATCTATCAGGCGACGCACGGAGGGCGCATTCCGCCGAAAATTCTGCACCTCGTGTTTTGCTTTCACGAGCACACCAAGTTCTTTTTTAAAGTCGGTCAGCTTCATGAGGCTGAGGCGATGTAACTTAGCCTACGGAGTAGACCAACTTGTTCATCCTGATGGCGATTTTGGGATTGTTGCGATGACAGCATTGCCCGTGCACCCTGACATCGTGAATCGACGGCGGGAATGGATCGTTTCTGTAAGAAACAGTCTGGTCTGGTTTCTTCCCGTCCCCAGCAAAATATCTACTGCAGGGCATACAGTAATTAGCGAAGAGTCCATGTTCCGTTTGATACCTTAGCTTGGGTGACATGAGGAACAGTGCGTTGGACAGTGCATAACCGGGATGTGGACCCTTGCCTTTGTACCCGTTGTTCCTTGTCAGAGCATGGAATTGGTGGATTGTTTGCTTTTAGACTATGCTCGGCTGTTAGTCTAATTAGAGATAGGGACGGTGTCCGCCTCGAGATAAACTCATGCCATTTGAGTTTGATGATCTGAGACTAGGCAGAGAATTTATTCCGATCTATAGCTCGTATGCATAATTTCTCCAGAATAAACTCACCGACAAGCCTTACCCAACAGTCACCAACCCTCAATTTGTAAGCTTAGCCGTGCAAGGCATGTGGGGGTTGTATTGGAGGGTCCTGGTTTGCGCGGGAGTGGAGGGGCTTGCGTAGCCCAGCCTTGTAGCGCACCGTGCCTTATCAGATGGATACTGTACATAAGGTGTTACTGGATTGGATTGGATCATTGCTCGATCCAATTCCAGGGCCCCTCGAGCTCCCAAAAGTACCTTTTACAGCGGGCTGAAGTGGCCACGGTACCTGCATTCAGAATCCCCCTCCGTGAGAAGGTGTCTGTGTGCCTGGAATCCCTGAAAATCCAGTGAATGAATCCCTGCCCCTCCAAAAATCGACACCACACACAGCACACCTGCCGCTCACTCCCTTGAAAAGTTGGCGGCGGGCGGGCGGACAGAACGAGATACATACATGTACCTGTTGTAGGTAAGCTAGGTAGTAAGTTAGAGACAGTGGAAAGGAACCAAGGTAAGGTACTAAACTAATGGGAATAGTCTCACCGCCTTAATTTCTCGTGCCAAAAAGTTGGTCCCCAATCGTTGCGTGACCTTCAGCGACTGCCCCTCCACCGACCGGCCTTTACCTTTGCCTTTGCCTTGGTAAAGTACTACCTAGGTAGGTAGTCTCCCTCCATCCTTCTCCAGTCTCCTCCAGAGCCCAGAGGGAAAGTAGTGCCCCCCTTTTCCCATTAGCTCACCTTAACTGCAACGTTGAGGTGGGAATATCTTTTCTAGCCTCCCTGTCTTTGCTTCCACCTCCTTTATAAACCTCCCCATTCCCTCTCATCTCTCTCCAAACCCTTACACTCGCTGGCATACTACGTGCGTCGATTCGTGACCTCGTTTGCGCGCATCGTCTCTACAGATTGTTCTTTGTCTCGTCTGTAATATCTTCATACCGCATCTGATCATCATGTCTTCAAACGGTACTCAGGAGGCCCCCATTGAGGTCCGCCGCATCTGCTGTGTTGGTGCTGGTTACGTTGGTAAGTTGCAGAAACCTTTTCCAATCGACTCTCCATGAGAGAGCACAAAGCTGGTGTATCGCATTTGCGAGAGTTGTGGCAAGACGCTCCATATCATGACTGCGCGCGTATCAAACCCTCGAAATGCTATACACCGCTCCAATAACACAATTGGGTTCCAACAAACTAACAAACTTGACACAGGTGGCCCTACCGCTGCTGTCATCGCTTTCCAGAACCCCAACATTCAGGTCACTGTCGTTGACAGAGACACCACTCGCATTCGCCGTTGGAACTCCCGCCACCCCCCTATCTACGAGCCCGGCCTGCACGATATCGTCCGAATTGCCCGTGATGGTGGCCGACCTACCAAGATCTCCAATGAGCCTACCACTGATAGTGAGGGTTCCTCTGCTGAGGAGGGCGAGATCGCCGTCGCTGAGCGCAAGCCCAACCTGTTCTTCTCCACCGACATTGCCAAGCACATTGGCGAGGCCGATATTGTCCTTGTTGCCGTCAACACTCCCACCAAGTACCGTGGTGTTGGTGCCGGCAGCGCTACTGATATGACCGCTTTCGAGGCTGTCACCGGTGTCGTTGCTCAGTATGCCCGCGAGGGCGCTATCATTGTCGAGAAGTCGACTGTTCCTTGCCGAACTGCCCAGCTTGTCGCTGATACTGTAAGTATATGGTCAATATTGCAGCAGAAAAGCGGTCAAATGCTAACTTGATTCAAGCTTAACATGCACCGCCCTGGTGTCCATTTCGAGATTCTCTCCAACCCCGAGTTCTTGGCTGCCGGTACTGCCGTCAACGATCTCCTCTACCCTGACCGTATCCTGATCGGTTCTGCTCCTACCCCCTCCGGTAAGCGAGCTGCCGAGGCTCTTGTCAAGGTTTACAACGCCTGGATTCCTCGCGAGCGCATTCTGACCACCAACGTCTGGTCATCCGAGCTCGCTAAGCTTGTTGCCAACTCTATGCTTGCTCAGCGTATCTCCTCCATCAACTCCATCTCCGCTGTCTGCGAGCAGACTGGCGCTGATGTCGATGAGGTTGCCCGTGCCGTCGGTGTTGACCCCCGTATTGGTAACAAGTTCTTGATGGCTGGTATCGGTTTCGGTGGCAGTTGCTTCAAGAAGGATGTTCTCAACCTCGTCTACCTTGCTGAGACCATGGGTCTTCCCGAGGTCGCTGAGTACTGGCGCCAGGTTGTCAAGATGAACGAGTATGCCCGTGACCGTTTCTCCAACCGTGTCATCAAGTGCCTCAACAACACCCTCGTTGGCAAGAAGGTTACCATTCTTGGCTTTGCTTTCAAGAAGAATACCTCCGATACCCGTGAGGCTCCCGCTCTTGAGATGATCAAGACCCTTCTTGAGGAGCGCCCCCGTGAGGTGGCTGTCTTTGATCCCTGCTGCAACCCTCTGGTTATTAAGGCCGAGATCAAGGAGCTCCTCGGACCCCTCGCTGAGGGACACAACATCACCGTTCACGGCAATGCCTACGATGCTTGCGAGTCCAGTACCGCCATCATCATTGCTACTGAATTCGACGAGTTCCGCAACCAGCCTCCTCCTCCTCCCGCTCCTACACCTGCCGTCCAATCCAAGACCATTGGCCGCAAGCCCAACCCCAAGGCCGACCCTCGTCCTTTCGAGAGCGCCACTCCCAGTGCCAACGAGCTCCTCGCTCTCCACAAGCACCTTGTCCAGCGTGCTGACGTCCAGTCCCATGACCCTCTGGACCGCTTCAACGTCGAGCCCAGCTGTGAAGACGACTGCCCCGACTGCATCCAGGAGCGCGAGAGCAAGGACAGTGGCTTCGCTACAGGAATGGGAAGCTCCGAGGAGTACAAGGCCAAGGAGCGCGTAGACTGGGTCCGCATTTCTGAGAACATGGCCAAGCCCCGCTGGGTCTTTGATGGCCGTGGTGTCATCGACTCTCGCGAGATGGTCAAGCTTGGCGTCCGCGTCGAGAGTGTTGGTCGCCAGCACCGCTTCTAAATGTCTCACCTGATTTTGAGACAGACACAATTTTTTCGACGGCCGACTTTTAGATTTCTTGATTGTATGAATTCGTCGACTGTTGGCTAAGATTATACCGTTTTTAATAAGCATGAAATGACATATGGACGTGGTTGATGATACACGCCGAGATACACTGGAAGGACATGGCGGACGCACGGCGTGAACAGGTGAAGATGTTTACTGGACATAGATTTAGATTTGAAGATGTTAAAAAATGCGATGCGAGAGCAATGTTTCCGTTACCTACCTGATGTCTGCTGTCTATACTTGTACTCGATGGTACCTTGGTTTATTTATGACCCATAATCGTAGTCGTTTGAACTTTGGCGATGAACAGATCAGATTACCCCATGTCTATCAATTAAGCTTAAGATGGGGAGGCTAGGTAGAGTAGGTACTAACTAAAATATTTCATACATAGCGGCTCGGCTATCACGATCCCTATCTATCATGGTCTCATGGTGTTCGCGTCAGTGAATTTGTTTCATGACTAATCCACCATGATCCTGTCCTGAGACGAAGCTTCAACCACCGTGTTTCAGCCGATTGACCAGGCGTCTCAGCTCTGAGCCTCTAGTGTAACAAGCTATTACCGGAATACTACTTGTTTCCCAAGCCCAGCCGTCATGTTCCCTGCAACAACGTTCTCGATCTTGCTCCACGTAGCATCGTGCCCTGCACTTGATACAGACTACTACTCTCCTTTGGGTACGCGTTTCACCATGCATCGAGGAGTACCGTCGCCGTGGTTCGCCTCCTCGTGCGTGCTTCTCGTCTCGAGACATTTGTCGTCTTTGTCTTCCTGTTGAACGGGTAGCATCTTTGCCTCGCTACCATACGCTCTTTAACCATATTGGTATCACTCTTGTGTTATCCCGGGGCTGTGCCTCTATATTCTTTCGCTTATTATTCAATTGCATTGCTGGCTGCAGGCGGCTCATCCTGTCTTGTCTTCGAGGCCTGAACGTACGGGCCACCATCGTCGACTTGGGATCCAATACAATCGAGGCAGCTATTCGTCGAGATGAGATTGTCATGGGCGAGACAGGCCGCAATTACAGGCCTCGTCGCCGTCGCCATAGCAGACGTCTTGCCGCCGGACGACATTCCGCTCATGTGCGTGACGATCTGTGGTCCAATTGTCGAGTTGACAGCAAAATGTGATGTTCACAACCATCGCCTCGCGAAGCGACAGCCAAACCCTGAGTGGGTTCCAAAGTTGGCCGTGGAACCGCTCGAGGATGATGGACTGCATAAGAGAAGCTTCTCTATCATCAGGGCTGCACCGACGTCATTTCCTCCACAGTTCGAGCCTCAAGAGAGCACGACATCATCAACTTCAAAGTCAACGTCAACGTCAACGTCAACGTCAACGCCGACTACCAAGTCTACGCCGGCGTCTATGAAATGGGTTGCGGACGACACCAGTGTGGAGGAGCAGACAATGACAATGAGACATACCTTGATGACTTCATCGTTTGTCAGCTCGGCAGTAACTCAACCTACCAAGACTCTTCAGGGTGATTCAGGTACAGCGAGCATGACGAGTTGGGGAGCTAGTTTGCAGACCCAGTCAGTAGTTCCAGAGGATGATCCGGAGAGGGAATGTGTATGCAACAATACGAGCTTTGATGTGGCCAAGATCGCCGCGCTATGTCAAGACTGCATCGTTGTTGATGGGCACAAGCAAAACAGTGAGTCTCAATGCCCACCCCCATTAATCAGCTGCTAACGAAAAAGACCTGGATGTTATCATGCGGTCATGCGGGTTCAAGCCACTTACTTACACTCCTGACCAGGACAAAGCGGCGGATAACGTTCGGGTCGAGGCGACGCGGCCGACTGCCATGGGTACGAAGCAAGACTCGGCGAATGCAGGTGCTGGAATAGAGTCTGGTGGTAATTGGGTTATTATTTTCACTTCATTGTTAGGACTCGCCTTGGCGGTATGAGTTGCGTTCGATTTCAACACCTTAGATATGTAGATCATAGCGCTTGCGACAAGCTTTCCTTTCTCACTTATTACATCCAATTTTAGATAAAACACTCGTTGAACGAATATACCCTTGTCTACTACTGCTTTGTGCGGTTCCAAACTATTTTCCTTCTTCTGTGGTGACATGATGATTGTATAGGTACCAGAGATAACGCTGTGCGTGAAGCAGAAGGAAACAAAAGGATACAATTATGTATTCTATGTCTATGATGGCTTCTTCTATATGCAACCAAATGCCCCATATTAACAGTCCATATAATAAACATTAGGTACAACATCTCCAGAATCATGAGCCGCTAAAGCCCGGGCACTATCCATAAGTAGGTACACCATCTTGTGTTCAAACCACCATGGCAACCATAGCCGAAGTGATGAGTAGAGCCTACCATAACGTCAGTACAACTTGAAAACGACACAAAAGGGTAATATCTTACCATTCCCCAAGTACCAGGCCACAAGCAAGAGGCACCACTATCGGTATCCTCGATTCGAGCGACCAACTTATCCCCAACACCACCGAGACTCTCTTCGAAGTCTTTGAAGTTTTTGGCGTCCCAGTCGGCACCGTCTTCTCCTGGCACAGCGTCGCTACCAGGGAAGGCGATATACAATACATCATCTTCATCGTGGCCATTGTCGCCATTCATGTCATCGCCGAAGCAAGCCGTTGCAAGGGAGATGGAGGCCTCTCCGACCATTGCTTCATCGCCATCATCGCCATTCTCGTCGCCCCAGATGCCGTAAAACTAATAAAGTCAGCGATGATTCGGCATTCAAGAAAAGGTAATGCTTTACCATTTTGTCGCCGCATACAACAGCCATCACACTCAATGGTTTGACGCCGTGCTTTTGCGCATCAAAGGTTGGCCAGTTCTTCTTCGAACCCACGTTTCCGAACACCACGTAAGGATGAATATTGGCATCGAGGTCCTTCTGGTCCGTGCCATACGACTTGAGCTGGTCCTGAAAAGACGTGACAGATTGTGTGTCGCCTGATGAGCCACAGCGTCCATCATCTGCAGAACTGCCCTGGACTCCATCGCAGTCGATGTCCATGTTGACGAGCTTGCCTTTTGTGCCCTGGAGATATATCACATTGTAGTCTTTGAGATGGTCGCCGCAGTAGACGTATGCTGCAAGTGATTAGTCGCGGTTGCAATGCGGATCTTGGAAGGCTTACAGCCATCGTCGCCATCGGCGCTATGGAAGCCTTCTGCGAGAGTATCATTGCAAGAGCCCTGTTTTGTGATGCTCTCCTTGAAGGCTTTGACGTTGTCGGGGACATCGCGACAGGAAACCAGAGTGGCGATCGATGCGAAAAGGAGAAATCGAAGGGAAGCCATGTCGATGAATCTGCGGCCGAAATGAAGTAGCGAGCGTGGGGAAAAGGCCGATCGAATCAATCGGGATAGTCTATCTTTATCTTTATGTTTAAATGTCTAAATGTTCCCCTATAACTAAACCTCGGGGCGAGAGTGGTTTCATTCAAACAGCCCATTTTTTGCTTGCATGCAGTGATCCTCGTCCAATTTACTTTACTCGGAACCAAAAGTTCTCCCTACAGAGTTGCAAGCTGATGGCTTTTAGGCTCCCTCCTTATTCTTCGCCAAGACGGGTCGATCTGGTCTAGAACGGGATAATTTACTAGCATTAAGCATATTTATAACCTTTGGACCATCGGCTGTTGGTTTTTGCTTCTACAGGGCGAGATCTTACAGATTGGGAAATTAGTCCGCCTAGTTAAGATCCAGATTGGTAAGGGCCTCGTTTATTGTATCACTGAACTGCATTTTAACGAGCCCAGTAAGGATTGACGCGAGGGACAGATTAGGCAAATGAAACCAGAGATGTGATTTGCTGGGGCAGTTGGGGTTATTCATATACTAACATCCATATGAGACAGGGTTACCCTATGTTTCCTCACCTGAACCAGCACATTCAGGTATACATACAATAGAAACCCACAATCGAACGAGTCAGGCCATCGTTTGATCTCAAAATGTGTAGGCCTTAACAAGTTGATTGCCATTTGTCATTCTGGGCTTTGATCGCCAATGGTAGTGTGGTCATCTTCACATCTAAAGCGCACCATGGATTAAGACGAAATATTATTGACTTTCTAAGACTAGTACTCTGAACCAGTCGTATCTAAGGTAGCCGCCCTTTTCTTTTTTCCAGGCATCGTTCTATCGTCCTGTTTGATAGCTTATTAAAAGTCCGAAACTATCTCGTCCGAGAGACCATGCATGACGACGGCTCAATAAACATCCTCGGCGGCATCTATAGCAATCAAGCAAAGAATCCGGTCACTCAATGGAAACCAAAGTCGAGCGCATCGTTATCTCTTAATCTCACATATATGGGCCCTTTCAATCAATGACAATTACACTTCCAAGAATTGGCAAGAAGCGCATCAATTCGTCCGTCTCGGCCTCCGCACGGCCGAACAAGATTAGCTGTGAAACTAAGACACACGATCCCTGTCAATCAAGCTTCGTCCGCGAATTCGTCCGTACCTCGACCGGAGGCCATAGATATATAAGAAAGCAGTGAGGATAATTACATAGCGAAATATAGACCACCAGTGTTTCTATCCATTCAACTTACCGATAACCACAATGTCTGCCCACCTCCAGCACAATGCCGCCTGGGAGGCTAGCCCTCTTGCATTCCTGTCCCGCCAATTCATCGAAGGAGTTCCCAAGATCCCCAAAGTCGTCACTCTATCCGGGAAAACAGCTCTCATCACAGGCTCAAACGTTGGATTGGGATTTGAATGTGCTCGTCAACTTCTTGCTCTCGATCTTTCACATTTGATCATTGCTGTGCGGAACCAAACGAGAGGTGATAGTGCAGCACAGAAACTACGAAACGAGTTCCCAGAAGCAAAGATTGAAGTTTCTTTAGTTGACATGGCTTCGTACAAGTCAATCCAAAGCTTCGCCAAGTGGTGTGAGACTCTGCCTCAACTCGATATTGCCATCCTGAACGCTGGATTGAGCAGACCTCAGTTTGAGAGATCGGACGAGTCCAAGCATGAAATGACATGTCAGATCAACTACCTCTCCACTGCCCTCCTCGCTATCCTTCTTTTGCCCGTCCTCAAGAAGAAGCGTGGAACTTCTGAGCCTGCACATCTCGCTCTCGTTGGCTCTGACATGTCATACTGGGCTCATTGGACTGGAGCAAGCGATGCCATCTGGGATACCGCCGACGACCCTTCCAGCTGGTCCAGCAATGGCGCCTACCAGATTTCTAAACTTCTTCTTATCATGTTTGTTGGAAAACTCTCCGAGTACGTCTCACCCGACGAAGTCATTGTCAACTTCCCCAATCCCGGCGCGTGCAGGGGAACAGAATTCGGAACAGACGGTAAGAGGAGCAAAGTTGAGCAGTTTTGGATGAGTATCGCCAAGCCTATTGTTGGAAGAACAGTTTCTACTGGCGCAAGATCCTATGTTGATGCTGTTGCCGTGAAAAGCAAAGAAAGCCACGGCAGCTTTGTTGGCGAGGGCAAGATTAAGCCGTGAGTACTTTGAAGCTGATAACAACGGAAAGTTTCTAACTGTATTTGATAGATACCCCCCGATTATGTATGAGCCGGTGGGAAAGGCACTTCAAGAGACCGCCTGGAATGACTTAATGAAGGAACTGAGTTTTGCGAAGCCTCTAGAGATACTCAAAGGCAGCGCCACTTGAGCTGACGTTTACGGACTACGACAAGGCATGAATAAGAAGAGTCAGAGAGATATTGAAACACAAGTAGAGAATGTAGTTAATTAATACAACAGTACCAAGTCTCATCATTCTCGCTTTGCTTCACCATGATCAGCATAGTCGACTCCATTGCTCTTTGCTTCCACCCGCTTAATGTCTTCAACAACAGTCGTATCGTCGTAAAACCGAACTTTTTTCACCACCCCCTTGACCATCAGAGCGCTATCCCCAAGTCCGACCTTTTTGAGGCTGCTCTGGCCATTTCGTCTAGGTACTTCCATTCCAAAGTATGCTCGCCATCGGCCGCTGTTGATGAAACCACAGAAAATGCTGAGCTGGAGATCGGTCCAGCGAAGGATAGTCAGCAGGAAAAAGAGACAGAAAAGGATGCTGAAGATAATGCTGCCCCAGGGTATCGATTTGTCTAGCTGAAGTTCTCCTTCAATATTCGACATTGTGCTGTTCTATTGGTCAGATGGAGGATTAAATATGTTGCTGAGATAGTCACGCACCTGTTTGAAGGAATTCTCTCAGAACTGTAGGCGTCCAGAGGAATTTGGTGGTTTCGAAGACTCAATTTGCTTATCAAGCCACGTAAATTGGACAGTTTGATCATGATGAAGATGAAGGAAAAGGGTTGTGTGATCCGTGCCTAGCCATGACCTGCCTCTCATTTATAATAGTGAAAGGACACACAAAGGAAAAAGGTCGTATAATCGTCATATCTGTACACGAAGTTTCTTTCTTGCACACGGCCACCCAAACCTTTTTTCCAACAAAGTTCTTCCTCGACTTATATGTCCCTACAAGTCGCTCTCCCAAACTCTCCCATTGAACTCTGTAATCCACCCCTCACGCCATAAATCCTCACACCGCGTTACCAGCTTTCATCAATAGGCGCCTCCATTAGGGATCTTGTTGTTCTTGTTGCGGCCGCTGTGGCGGGCTATGCTGCTGCTGCTGGTCTTTTCCTATGGGGGCCCCATCGAAGAATAGTTTGGAACGCGATAATTTCTTGGTACTTGTCTTTGCTCGCCATTTGCGCAGTTACAGTTACCAGCGTCATAAGATGCTTCAACGGCGGCACATACGGTATCGTAAATATCGTCCAGTAGCTGCTCATCCCTTTGTCGCTGGAAGAAGATGAAGACAACACCGAGAATGAGACCAAGGATACACACGGTCGTGCTGAAGGCCAAAATGCACACAGTGAAAAATCCGTTGTCGTAGTTCATTTTTGGGCAACGTAGGCAAGGTATCTGTTGTGTTTCGATGGCTCGTGGACAGCAGATGATGGACGTGGTTTGAAGCGAATTGGTGAGCTGGAGCGGGATGTTCTCGAGAAAGAACTTGTGATTTGAAGCTGGCGTGAAGAAGAGCAACAATATTCTGAGCACTATGGTCTTATATTTAACTTGTATGTGTAAATTCGGGGTTCAACTATATAAAGTTATTGAGTGCTCTGGTGGCAATGTTTTACTTTTCAGATAATACCATGGGGTAGAAATACTGAAAGATTACTATGAGAACGCACCGATTTGTAGGCTTACGGTACGGGTGAAAAAAAAAAGAGTTTAGTTATGAAGATCGAGTGAACTGTATAGCATGTCAGTCTCTGATTTCTCTGCAAAAGAGGCTCGGTGATCTGGGTCTGGACATCTGGGGATAGATGTAAAATAGACCGCCAGAGATAGTATAAACTATATAGTAAGAGATTAAAGAGGCAGAAGCTCGTAGTTGATTCCAATGGAAGTCATTTGTTAGCCTCTGGCTGTCACTTCTGATTCGACGTGTGGGCAGAGAGGTGTCATCGCAGCCGCATGGGAAGACTGCGAGTAGGTGGCTTGGCCAGCTGATGCAACAGAAAGAGTTCAATATTTTTAATGGAGGTATGGCTATCTGATCCGTAACATGAGATATTGTGTCTTGAATATGTTTTCTCGGGGGATTGTTGGTTATGCAAAAGTGTTGGTGTATCATCAGTTCCCTTAACATGGCACTACTATAGTTACCTGTCAAAGGGAAGATGTAATTCACTAACTTAGGATTTAGTTTCGCTTTGGATAAGAAGGTAATATCGAAGATGGCATTTGTGGTTTAATTCTACTTTGCAACAGGGTTTATCAGCAGCTGGCCTTACCTGGTAGTCTCAACAGACTCCTCCTCCTTCATGGACCTGCATTTCGTATCCGACTGTCATATCGAATTCACTATAAGCGATATACGTTAGTAGTTTGAATTGATGCTCAGATGATCCCATACGGTTCTCGCTCCTGTCAAGAATCAGAGTTCAAGGAACGGCTCGGTCTCAGCGTCCCAACCCCGACATCTTGCATTGGCTGAAACGGTAACATCGCTGCATTCACACGATACCATTTCCAACCGCAGACATGCACGAGTCAGAAGCTTCGATTGGTTGGACCGTACTCCATCTCTTAGAGTTTATTTAATACCTACCCGAAAGCTATCACGAGTCGAAATGTCTTGGCGAGAGTTGCTGCTGTCGTTCTTTGGTGTATGTTGTCAATTACACAAAATATCTTATCAATCTCCGCCGGCTTGAATGCTAGGTATGCTATATACATCATTAATATCGTGACCCGGTTTAGTAATGGTACAATGAATCGAAGGCCAAGACAACACAGTACAACAACAAAGACATGAACTTGATGTGCCAGCATCAACACAACACAACACAAGACAATATCCAAATGGATATCACCACCCAAAAGGCTTGGCATATCGTTCGACGGTCCTAGATGCTCCGCCAAGTCCACAAATTTTTCCCCAGTCAAGCTCAGCTCGGCTTCACAACACAACACAACACAACACGCACACGCCACCGTGCAAATTGTCACCCACTTCTTCCCGCGGAGGATAAATCTCACATTTTCAGTAGCGCATCGTTATCAATGATACGATCATTGTAGCCCTCGCATGCCACCTTGACAAAGGCCTTTGCCATCTGCGCAACTTCAACGCCGTGAGCCGAGCGACCGCCTACAAGTCTTCTCTTCTTGGGCGCGTCTGGGGTGACGATGGCGCTGGGTCTCAAGATCCAAGCGCTAAATGTTTCAGGGCTGGCGTCTGCAATCTCGCATAGACCCTTCTCCGCCTCGGACTTTGGTTTCCTTTGGTCCCCGAGCGAGAGCAGTGAAGATGCCTTTGAGTTGGCCTTGTTGCTGCACAAGACAAAGTTGAACTTGTTGCCTGCTGGTGGCTTTGGTGCTATGTGCTCACTGAATATTTTTGCCGCCGTGAGCGGTAGTTCCACGTTGACGTGGTGAAGAAGTGCCTTGTCGTGGTTGAGACGGTCTGGCCGTGCTCCAATGGCCCTGTGTAAATGATCAGCCTCTCATGTTGGAGCAGTATGAAGACTGATCTTTAGAGATCGAAAGAGACCGTCTTCTTACCATAAACACGCCGAAGACCCTTCAAGTCGCCGTAAAACTTCATCGGAATACCTTGCAAAGTCCTGAATCATGATAACATCCGCCTTTGGGTGACTCTCGATGTCCATTGAGACGGCCTTTCGAGTGAGAATAACGACTTTTGTGATGCGCGCGTCGGCGAGACATTGTTTGACGATCTCATTGCCGACCATCCCGGTCGCCCCTGTAACCACAACCTTCATCTGCTGAGTAGAATATCGCAAAAAGGACTGGAACCGATAGTGCAGTCGCTCGCTTTCAGAGGAGGGAAAAAAAGGAGAAGAAAAGAGAGTGTTTGACGGATAAATGAGTGAATGAGTGCACGAAGAATGATGGGTATTCCGTAGGGCCTCAGAGATGATCCCTGGTCTTGCGGGCCTCTCTCGCCTTGCTATAATACTAAGGGCAGAAAATTAAAAAGGGCCGGAAACAATAAATAGTATTAGACCAGCAGACAGTGGCAACAGAAAATATGATGAATGTCGCTAATAGAGATGGCTCTTATGAATGAATGCTAAGGTACCTTGTGCATTCATCTTGATCTTGCATCCATGGCTTGGAGGAAAGAAATCAATTATGTATATGTATGATCAGCCACGCAAGTGAAAAACTACACTTGACCTCTTGAGGAAGAGAGCTAGCAGGTACCTTATAGTGAAGGAGTACCTATTGCCGGCAGCCCGATCTGACCATGGCCATGGAATGACATTGACAGCTTCTAGCATCTCTTGGCTCTGTTGCCGAACTACAAATACCGCGCGCGGGTAGATCCTTGTACTGTATGTAGCTCATTGCAGTGTGTACCTACCTACTAACCTAAGGTAAGTAATTTTCAACGACTCAAGAAAATGTGCTTCCTCGGTCCTCTCTTTAGATCGACACTTGGCCAACCAATCCTTTGAGATCCGCCGGTTTTGGCACGGAGATACGATGCAGAGCCTGTCACTGCCTAAAAAATGGCCGTTTGACGCCAAGGCCCGTCTTAATTTGCTCTCGCGAGTGACATTGACTATCGCGACTATTGGTTGGACTTTACACAAATCTGTCATTATTAGTTAATGTGGATGTTTTAGTTATATTGGCTGAAATATTCCGCCATGAAGAACATGGCCTCGGGGAGCAAGAAAACACCGGACCTTGATCTAGGGTGCTAAAATAAACTCATTAAAAAGCCCCCTAAACTTAGGCTAAATTTACCTAAATATTTCTAAATATTTTTATTGCTTAGGGTCAAGGTTTTGTGTTTTCTTTCCTCCCCTACTAGCATGGCAATAAGACAGACTATCACTACCAGCAGCCCAATATTTTCACAGGCTAATACATTTTTTCTCTGATGCCATCGACAGAACTCGTTAGACCTCAACCCCTTCTGTGCCGATCATCCGCTTTGCCGACCTGCTATGCCCAATACTGCAAGTACACGTTTCACTCTGTAATGAAACATGGGCACCCGCGCGTCTGGCGACGTTATCAGCGTTACGTTGTCGAGCGTGACTTGTGGAAAGGAGATGCCGACTGGTATAGGTACATGTACAGGGTCAGACCGTCAGTACATGAGGTGCTCTCTGTATTACATTCATTTCCCAGGGCAAGCAGATGTTTACTTCATCCCATTTCCCGTGGTGCGCAATGCCCAGACAGGTACTTAGCTGAGGCATGTAGCCTGCTAGGCCAGCGTCAATAAACAATTTATAGAGACGCAAATAAGCTTCCTTTTTCAAAATAAACAACGAGATGCTGCACTTCAAGCTCCGCAAGATCGACCCGACGCTGAATGTTTCGGATCCGATTCGGATCCGGGGCTGATTTCGAAGCTGGGGTATCCGTAGGTAGGTAGTCACTCGATGACGATTGGCTCAGTGAACTGAACCCATCCCTCAGTTACGAGAGCGAATATACAGATAGGTACATAAAAGTTGACCAACTCAATTAGGTATTATTCCATTTTGGATATCATATTATTTCCTCGATTAATTGATTAATTTACTCAACCAACTCGGCTTCCCTCCAAGTTGTCAGCCGCGCTCTTGCTTCGAGGGTCAGACTCGTTGCCGTAGTGGTTCGCGTCTCCTCCCAGCGCCTCGATCTCCTTCTTGCTGTTCTCCTTGCTGGCCTGGCTGGTGTCTATCGATCAATCACTGTTAGTCACTGGAGACGACGCTCCTGTAAGGACGGTTCATACTGGGGTTGGAAAGGTTCGCCTTGTGGCCCTGGATCTTGTGGGAGATCTCTTCGCCGCCCTCGCGAAGCTCCTGCATGTCATTTGAGATGACGGATCGGTCTCCAGCGGAATTCATTTTGGTGATAGGTATTGGTATTGATTGATTGATTGATTGATTGAATGGTTGTAATTTGTAATAGTCTTGGACTTTTCCTACATGCCCTGTATTGAATTCCTCTTTATATACCCATTTTCCTCTTCCGTACACCTACTTATTTCTCGGCATGACATGCCATGACGTTACAGCATGAATATTGTTAAGGCTCTTATGTCATGCTTGAACTGAATCAAGGACATCTCCATGTCCCACAGACTTGGCTCACCTTCCAGGTGTGGCGAGCGATGCGTTCTGTGTGGCTGGATGTGTCCAGCATGAGGGGCGGGATGACATAGCTTCCATGTTGCCCATGAAGCCGGGGTGAAGCTTGAAATTAATTGGAGCTATCACCCCCGAGATCTTGGCCGAAGATGGTCGTGTTATTTTGGACTGTACCCCTGCCTGATTCGCCATCTCGATCACTTCAACGACTATCTTGTAATACAGATACAAAAAGCAATGGATGATGCACAATCTGAAGCCATA